GCATTGAATTGACTTTTGAGCTATTGGATAAATCACCATTATATAATTATGCTAGATTTTGTACTAGATTTTATTTCAATTGTCACTATAATCTTCAATTGCTGGCAAACACTTCCAAATTGGATATTTTACAATATAGATTAGTAAATTTTATTTTAGATCATTCAGCAGTTATTAGAGAGCTTAGTACTGCTGACATGTCTTTTTATTTGGTAAATAATTATTATAGATTCGATAATAGTTTTCAGAATCTTAATAAATTAGTTTTTTATAATCATATTAGCAATGAATTTATTGATAAATTAGCAAATATTTGCAAAGGTATTCAATCATTAGGAATGTATGGCTCATATGACAATAAATTTGAAGATAGTCTGGCTCAACTAATTAATGCACAAAATCAAATAAAGGAATTAAACATTTTTTCATACTTTAGTCAACCTTTATCAGATAATTTCAAACGAGCAATTCTCACACATTCACAATCAATAATTTATTATTCATCTAATAAATTCAACAATATAAACCATATATTATTACCAACATTTATCAATTTGAAAACTTTATCATTTTATAGTAATAATGAACAAGCAAAATTTTTGAAAGATATTTCACTGCCAAATATTGAATCTGTGACATTATATATTTGTGATATTTATAATGAACCATTCCTGTCTGATTTTATCAATATCAATGGAAAAACTCTTAAATATTTAGATGTTAATGGTAAAGATACTTCAAATGGTGGTGAATTTTTGGGAAGGCTATTTCAATCAATTACACAATGTTGTAACAATCTAGTAAACTTATCAATACTTTATGATAATGAATTAAACCAGGAGTTAACAGGATTATTCAATAGTTGTATTAAATTAAAAAGTATTATTGTTTACAAGTATATGTATAGATTAGATGGTGATAAAATACTTTCAGCATTAAATCAATCATTACCAAAAAAATTAAAGTCAATAAAGCTTCCTTGTGATTTCTCTACTGTTAATATCAATTCTTTTGATAATCTTATGAAGAATTGGAGAGGACCTAAACCCTTTACAATGGAGTTTGATGATTGTCAGAAATTAGTGGATTAAACTAAATTTATTATTTTTATTTGATTTTAATTAGTTGGGAAAATATTAAATCATTTTGTTGTATAACAAATAAAAAAAATTTTTTTTTTCTTTACAATAAACTTTACTACCACTTGAGCTTTTAACTGAAATATTTAAATATAATGATGATGATTATAAAACATTATATTCTTGCATTCTTGTCAATAAACAATGGCACAATATTAATATTCCAAATTTATGGAAAAATCCATTTTATTCTAAAAACAGCACCAAAATAATAATCAATTGTTTATTAGAAGAAGGTAAGGATTTCTTAACAAGAAATAGCATTGAATTGACTTTTGAGCTATTGGATAAATAACCATTATATAATTATGCTAGATTTTGTGCTGGATTTTATTTCAGTCATTACTATAATTTTCAATCGCTGACAGACACTTCTAAATTAGAGGCAGACATTTCTAAATTAGATATTTTAGAAAATAGATTAGTAAATTTTGTTTTAGATCATTCAGCAGTTATTAGAGAGCTTTGTACTGCTGACATGCCTTCTTCTTATTTGGTAAATAATTATAGATTTGATAAAAGTTTTCAGAATCTTAATAAATTAGTTTGTTATGATACTATTAGCAATGAATTTATTGATAAATTAGCAAATATTTGCAAAGGTATTCAATCATTAGGAATGTATGGTAAATACAACTGTGAACTTCAAGATAGTCTGGCTCAACTAATTAATGCACAAAATCAAATAAAGGAATTAAACATTTCTTCACAGTTTAGTCAACCCTTATCAGATAATTTCAAAAAAGCAATTCTTGCACATTCACAATCAATAATTTATTATATAAGTGGGGGGTTAAGTAATATGGATCATATGTTATTAACAGCATTTATCAATTTGAAAACTTTATCACTTTGTAGTGATAATGAACAAGCAAAATGTTTGAAAGATATTTCACTGCCAAATATTGAATCTGTGTCATTATATATTTATTATATTTATAATGAACCACTCCTGTCAGGTTTGTCTGATTTTATTAATATCAATGGAAAAAATCTTAAATATCTGGTTATTGGTGGTACTTCAAATGTTGGTAAATTTTTTGGAAGGCTATTTCAATCAATTGCACAATGTTGTAATAATCTAGTAGACTTATCAATACTTTATGATAATGAATTAAACCAGGAGTTAACAGAATTATTCAATAGTTGTATTAAATTAGAAAGTATTATATTTAAAATTGTTCATAAGTATATGTATACATTAGATGGTGATAAAATACTTTCAGTATTAAATCAAACATTACCAAAAAAATTAAAGTCAATAAAGCTTCCTTGTAAGTTTTCTACTGTTAATATCAATTCTTTTGATAATCTAACAAAGAATTGGAGAGGACCTAAACCCTTTACAATGAAGTTTTATGATTGTCAGAAATTAGTGGATTGATCAGGATTTAGGGTTTTTTATTTAAATTTTTATATTTATTATTTTAATTGGTTGGGAAAATAATAAATCATTTTATTATGTATATATAATAAATAAAGAATTAAATTTTTTTAATCCAGCTTGATGGCTATTCTTGCATTGATATTTTTAGTAAAGTTTAGTTCCGAAATGAATTTAATTCTAAATAGATAAAAAAAAAGGCGGAAGGGTTGATTTTATTGATTTTATTTATTTTTTAGATGGTAACTACTTCAATCTACACAAATCATAATTATACATAATATGAATAGAAAGATCACTTCGACCAAAATACTTAGACAGTCAATACTAATTTCGGTTTCGTATATAAATATAATGGCAGAAACTAACTAAATTCTTTATTCTAGAATTTCCCCGAAGATTAGAATCAGTCAACGTCATTATCAAGCATTGGGATTCAACACATGAATCAGATCCAAAACTTATTAAAACTCAAATACATAGCAATAGATTGCCCTTTTTTAAAAAATAACATAAATGAAATTAATTCTTTCAATTGGAACAATGACATCAACGAAGACAAACAATATAGTAGATATATGGAATATTTAAAACAGATAATAATTTTACCATTGGATCTCGAGTGGTATGATGCTAGAAGTAATGCGAATTTTCTCAATGCAGTGGATCAATTATGGCACCCTTTTGATTTGAAAGGTACGACCGATGTTGCAATTTTTAATAAAGGGTATTCAGTTGCTTATGGGCAAGAAGTTTCTTGAGTCAGAGTAACTATAGAATTGAAAAAGAAAGAACAGGTGAAACAAAATACAAGGTTTCAAACACAAGCTCAGCTCCTCGTGGCTAATCATTATTCTAATAACAATGTATTGTCACTCTTAAATGATCTCAATAACTATTGGGAATTTTTCTGGGAATATGATACTGAAATATGTTTTTGCCGACCAGCTTCTGAAGAGCTTGCTATCAAAATGTTGCACGATTATGTAAATGCAGAAAGTAATTTCAACAATGTATCTTTAGGAATTGAGTTTAATGTCAATGAAAATGATTATCCACTTTCAAAGAGAAGAAAGTCAAAGTCATATTATTATTTTTACATAGGGGTGTTACTTAAGAAAACGAATGATATTATAATACACATGTGTGAATAAAGTTTATATAAAGTATTTTGACGTGAAAGAATTCAATCAAAAAAATATTAAAATATTTGTTTACGTCTAAAAAACAATAAAATTATAATGAGCGATATCAATAATAATAAAAATTTAATTAATTAAATATAATAAAGAACCTTTTTACAAAAATGATTTGGTTTATGTTGTACGTGAAAATGAAATTATGTGAATTCGCAATTCACATATGTGAAATTCAAATTTACATACGTGAAATTCAAATTAGCCAATCAGAATTTCACCCCACTTCATAATATTTCAATTTCACATAATTTCAATTTCACATACAACAGTGTTACATAAATAAGATATTAATAATGTTCTTTCTATTTTATCTATTTCTTTCATTCGATCTCTTTCTTCTATATATAAATCACATACATCATTATGTACAATTTTATGAATTGAGATTCCATTTTGATTTTAACCTTTCTATTTGTACTTCACCATGTCTTTTGGTCTCGTCAATAACTTCTTGTAATTTCTTTTCTCGATTTAATAATTGTGTTTCCATCTCTGCTATTTTAGATGTTAGAACATCAACTGTTAATGAATTCACATTATTATTAGCATTGCCGTTAGTTTTATATTTTTGATTTGGTTGTTCGTGTTGTTGTTGTTTATATGAATTGAATGCCTTTCTAAATATTGTATTTTCTTCTTTTAACTGATTGAAATATTTCAACGTGTTTTCATTTACCTCTTCAGCTATTATAGGATCATTAACTTCCTCCTCTTCCTTTCCATTGGAAAGAGCTATGTCAACACTTTTTAGTGAATTATCACCATCATTAAAAACTGATGGGATAACTGATGCTAACAATTCACGTTGCTTCTTAATCACACTTTCAAGTCCTATACATTTTCCTTTCAAAACATTAATCTCCATTTCTTTATCAGTGATTGATTTTTTTATTTCAACTATATCATCATTACTACTATTGTCTATGATTAAACTGGATTTGTTTGCTTTTTGTAAAATTTTTAATGTGTTATCATGTGTCAATTCTCTAATCTTTTCAGAAATAATTAGTTCTGATTTCAACTTGGTATTTTCTCTGGTTAATAATTCGACCTGATTACAAAGTTTTTCATGTTCTGAAATAATTGTCGTCGTCGTTGTTGTTGTGCTCATCATTGTAGTAGTTGTTGTTGTTGTTTGTGTTTTAGATGAATTATTATTGTTGTTTTTATTTTCAGTAGTAGTAATGGCAGTAGCAGAAGAAGAAGAAGAAGAATAGGAAGGGGGAGGAGTTTGCATTTCATTACTATTGTTGTTGCTGTTGCTGCCACCAGAAATATTCAATTGCTGCCTATTATCAAGATCATCATTATTATTACTACTATTGTTTTCACAACTTAATTTTCTCAAATTTGCTTTTCGTTCCATTTGTAATAGCTCTTGTAAATGTTGAACTTGTACTTTTAATTTCTTAACTGATGTATCATATCCACTTCCCCAATTCATTTTTTCCTTAGAAAATGCTACCAATTTTGCTTCTGCTTCTGTTGCTCTTTGATGTGCCGCATCTCGTTCTGTAGTTCTTTCAATTATGGTTCTTTCCAGCTGTGCTATAAGTTGTTCAATAGCTGATATTTCAAACAAATCCATAATATCACTGGTAATAGGTAGTAATGACAAATCTTCAATTTCATTTTTACTGCTGATATTATTGTTATTAACATTATTATTAACCAATGTTACCTTACCATTATTATTATTTGTGGCAACAATAGGAGGACTATTACCATTCATGTTATCATCAACTACTGTTGCTACTGTTGTTGCTGTAGTAGTATCGGCAGCTGCTATACTTTGTGCTGCTTGCGTTTTTTCAACATAATCCTCAAATTCTTCTGTCTTTAAAAGGTATGCATTTTGATAATATTCTAATTGTTCCTCTTTTTTTTTTAATTTTGCTACTAATTCTTCAATAATTGCTTGTTTGATTTCTATTTCATTTAATAAGTTATTAATGGATGGCATAGGTTGAGGCGGTGGCACAGGACTGCTAACATTTGCAGTAGAGCTAGATTCAGTCGTATCTGCAGGCATCTCCAGCAGCAATTCTTCCATTTCATGCATTTTACGGTCATATTCCTCTTTTTGTGCCTTATGCTCTTTTTTAATATTTTCAATTTCTTCCTTGAGTTTAGACTTTTCTTCATTCAAAATATTTGAATCTTTTTCAAATTTTTCTTTTATTTCTCTAAGCTCATCTTCTAATTTGGTATTTTTCTCATTCAATTCATCAATATACTCTTGAACTGCATCATCTTCTGTTAAATCTGTCCTTCCACTCTTGGCACTAATATTTGATACTACTGAAGGTGTTGGACTTGCTGTACGACTAACATTTGAACGTGATAATCCACCAATAGATGATTGTGATGTAGATCTTTTTAATGATTTTGCCGTTATTGTTGGAGATCTGGGAGGCTCTTTGCTATACCCATATAAATCTTTACTACTAGAAACATCTGTAAAAGATTTACGTCTTTTCTTTGGTTGCAAAAGTCGTATTCTTCGTAAATCATTATATATTTTTTCAAATTCTGGTGAATTATTATTGGCCATATCTTCTACTTTATCAAGTGCATTCTGTAATTTCCTAAATCTAGTTTCACGTGCCTCCTTTGAATTAGCTTCTTTTTTAATTTTTTCAATTTGTGACTCGTATGTATACTTCATTATGTTCATCTCTTCTGTCAGTTTTTCCAATGATGCTGTTTTAGAAAGATTGATCTGTTCAATTTCTTCATTTGCTTCAGATAATTTTCGTTCCAATTCATCTATTTTAATAAAATCTTCTGTTCCTCTATCTCTCAAATTGTTCACTTCTTTTTTCAATCCTTCCATTTCTTTAAGTGCCATTTCCTTAAACTCTAATGTCTTTTCTTTTTCTTTTAAATTTTCAATTTCTTTTTTCATCTCTTCCATTTGTTGCATAGTTTCACCTGGCACAACTACTTTATTTTCTTGAAACAGTTCTTTTAACTGTTCGTTTTCTTTAGAAAGTTCATTAATTCTATTTATTAGACTTCCTTGTTCATTATTAGAATGCCTAAATTGTTCATTCATTTTCTTCAATTCATTAACTAATTTATCATTCTCTTGCTGGTAACTGGAAACCAAAGCTCCTTTATCATTAATTTCTTTTTCAATTCTTAACAAATCCTCCTGTGTTAAAGCCAATGGTTCGTGTTGCTGTTCAATCAAATCTTTAATATCAATTTCATAATTTTGTATTTTATTTCCTGCTTCCCACAACTCACCTTTTAAATATTCTATTTCAGCTTCTTTTGATGCAATAGCATGCATCAATTCTTGATTTCTTTTTAAAAGATGTGACTTCTCAGCAAGTACCACAGTAGAATCTTGGTACCTTTTTGAGAATTGATTCAATGTTTCTTGAAACTGGGTATTAATCACTTCTAATTCGTTAGATATCTCATCAGTTTTCTCCTCTTTTTTTTTATTGGATCTTTGATAGTCAATTGAACTTTCCGATGAGTATTTTGTATGAATTGGAATAATCCTTGAATTTGCTCTACGTATAATTGCTCTTTTTTTGATTAGGCGTGGTGAAGCAGGTGATCTGGTCATGTATCGTTGTTCTTTATGAACCACATGATTAACATTTGTGTCAATAGTTATAGAAGAACCATGCTTTGAATTATTGGGTTCATTGGTAGTGGTAGTGGCATTAGAATTGTTTTTAGAGTTATTTTTAGAACTTTTAGGGTCATTTTTGGTGCTAGTTTTAGTAGCATTATTGTTGGTGGTTATTGATTTATCATTACCATCTTCATCATCTTCATCATCCTTGTCATCGATTTTTATTTCAGTTGGATCAATATTTAAAATTTTTAAAATATTTTTATGTGAAATCGATTTAATGTAATCATCATTGTCTTCTTCACCATCTTCATTATCGTTAACTTTATTTTTTGATAAAGTTGTTGATTTTTTTTTATCATTTTTTGTCACAGCAGTGGTAGTAGAAGTATCATCACCTGAATAAATTCCAATAAGATTAGCCAAACGAGCTGACAATGAAGGTCCACTTGATAAATTATTACTACTATTGCTACTGCTACTACTATTATTACTGTTATTTTGTTTTTGTTTTTGTTTCTTTTCATTTTTTTCTTTATTGTTTACTTCTTCAATACTTATTTGTCGAGCAGCCAATTCTAATTTTTTTTTCCTGATTATTTCATCGATCATTTCTCTTGGGACATTTGGAACAGGCCGCATTGTGAAAATTGCGAGTAGTGTTGTGGTGTTGCGTGGTGGTGGTGGTGTTACTAAAGATTAAAAATTTATAAAATTTTTTTTATTTTACTATTACACAAAATTTTAAACATCCATACGTTTTATTAATGAATGCAGATGAATAATCTTGGACCAAGAATACTTGCAGGTTTATGGAGCAAATGTTGGTGAAAACGGAAATGTGATCAGTCAATATATTCGCCTTGCCTGATTTTTCAAAAAATCATGTTGAAACATTCCTTGTGTTTTACAATCACCAATTATTTTTAAAACTTCCTTACGATCCTTGTCAAAAATCATTTACTTGTATAATTTTCGTGAATCTATTAATGCTAAACAAGTTTATTTGCAACTATTTCACTTGGGAGTGATTATCAAGTTGCAAATTTTAAAAGAGTTATCAGAATCAGAAGTTTCTTTACAGATTATTCTACAACTACAAGGACTAAGAATACTGATTACCAAGAAGGAAGCTAAAATCAATTTTTTTGTGAATAAACCAGCCATGCATTGAGATATGGGAGAGTTGGAGAATGAAAGCATGAGCGAGCATGTGTCAGAATCTTTGTGGCTTAAAATATACTAATTATGTCATAGCCCAGCAAGTTTTGGTGGTGGCAAAAGACCTGAAGATGTTGCAAAAACAAATTTTTTCCTAGGAAAAGACTTGATAAAATAGAAAAAGCAAGGATTTGAAAGAGTATTAGAAGCTGGAGCAATTTGGCATTTGTACAAAGAAAATTTAACGGTTTACTGTGAAAAAATATATATAATGAAAATGCTATACGAACAACTAAAACGTAATAAACATTTAAATGAATCAATCAATCAGGTAACTTGTAGGATTATCTATTTTATCAAATTAATTTTAAAGCTAAAAGACTAACTGATAAATTTTTATTAATAAAGGGATGGGCAGTAAAATAACATCAATTAACGTTACTAACTAACTACTTGAAGTGAGTGAGCATGTATATTCAATAGCAACTATTATTTTGATTGTATGGATAAGTATTTTTATGGTTGAAGGTTTGGTTTTTGAGTTGAAACTCGGAAAATTTTATTTTTACTCTCAAAAATACATGAATTGTCTTTAGTGTCTGAGTTTGAAACACATGTAGAGTTAGTTGTGTTAAATTAACTTTTGATTTGATTTTTGACTTTGAAGTTAACTACGCGTAATAGAGTAATATTAATAATAAAATAAAACATGCTTGAGTACCTGAGTTTGAAACACACATAGGCTGGTCAATATTGGTACAGATTTAGGTGCAGGTGTTTATAGATTTTAATTTTGAAGTTTTAAAATTGATGAAAATAGTAAACAAAAAATCCTGAAATTCTTTCAATCACTAGAGTTTGGTGATGATGCAATTTTTATTTCATAAACTATTTGACTGTCAAAAAAGTTAAAAAATGTGAATTATTATCATTAAGAAACGTACGAATAATATTGCGAGAAAATTGTTTGTTACACGCTCCGCAAAAAAAAAATTATAAATTAACATTTATTCTCAAAAACTACTCATTAAAACACCAAAAAATTTATTTTATATAATGTCATATGTTAAGCTATTATCATCGTTATCACTAGAAAGAAATGAATTTGTATTTAAAATTTATAATGAAATGTATGATAATGCTTATGTTAGTTCTGATATAGAAAATGAAGATTATTTTTTTTCATTAGTCCAAAAAAACAAGGAGCTTTCTGAAATTGAAAAAGAATTTTGTAAAGATAAATTTATTTATGGGTTTGAATTGAACAAAGCAAGGAATAAAAAAGGCAAACAAAAAGAATGTAACAAGTGTAAATTGACAAGATACTCTGATAGATTCTGTGAAGGTTGTAT